TCATGGTTTCGATCTGAGCCAGCTTGCGGTCGTCTATCTTATAGTTCTTAGTCTTGGCATCGTTGATGACTTTGAAGTTATCGTCGATTTCTTGTGCCTTGAAAAATGGGTCCATATTATGGGTTGAGAACTTTTTGGCATTGAACTGTGGTAAGTGCGGCGCCTGGGCTTTAGTGGCTTTATGGAAGGCTGAGTCCAGATTCTGTGAGACCGCTGCTATCGGATCGATCGGAGGTAGGGTGATCGTATCTGCGTCGTCCTCCCTCATGAGATAGGTGTGGGCCGGGTTACCGTTCTTGGAAGGTGAAGATAGGTCCAGGTTGTTAACCATCCAGTAGCGTATTTCTGCGTCGGAGAAAATGATGCCTCCATCATCTTCTGTAACGGGATCGCTGATAAGAGGTTGATGCTCTTCCGATGGTGACTGAGGTGGAGACCTGTATACTTGTACAGCTATGCAGGGTGACGTCAACGGAGACCTGTCTGGGGACTTCCTTGAAGACTTGTGAGGCGAACGATGTGGTGATCTGTGAGGAGATCGACAAGGTGAACGACGAGGAGATCGACGTGGCGAACGGCCTGACGAGCGGCGTCTGTATAGTGACCTTCGCGGAGATCTACGTGGTGAACGATGATAGCTTCGCGAAGCTCTTGGGGAATCCCTCGATGACCTTCTAGACGAAGATGACTTGGAGCCTGTAACTGGTGCCCTTTGCGAAGACCTTCTGCGAAGCTTCATCTGAGTCCGGTCCTGGGGAGTGACGACTTGACTTTCGTGAAGGCCTTCTCGAAGGCTGGGGGTCCGAGTCAGAGTCCGGGGATGAGAAGATCTTCCTTCGCGAACCTCTACGTGAGTGTTGATCGGAGTCCGAGGTAGGTGACGATGTAGGTGTCCTTTGCGAAGGCCTTCGCGAAGGCTGAACATCTGGGTCCTTTGCAGAGATGGGCTGTGACGTCCTTCGCGCAGATGGGTTCCTCCGCGATGACTTGGTAGCGGCCGCTACGTTGACGAGAGGTCCCTCTGGGGCGACGTCTACGTTGGAGCCTTTGCAAAGGCTCAGGCTCTGAGCTGGTTGTCTCTCCAGTCCGTAGCGGTCTTCCATCATCTTCATAATCTGAAGAACCAGGTCGTCTGGGACGGTCTGCGAAGATGCAGTTGCTGCCCTATCTGCGTTGGTAGCGACGGGACCCTCAGGAAGATCATCAGACGTCAGCGTTGGTACATCAGGCTGCATGTAGATCTGCGCTGACGTCACTGTTGCCGACACCGGTCGTTTCTTGTGATGCAAATCAGGTAAGATGATCGGCTGATCATCATCCAGGCCCAGTTCTGCGGCGGGAACAATCTCAGCTGAGAAAGTCCTAGTAGACTTCGTCGATTTCCCCTTGGAGGTAGACGCTGCCCTGGGGGTGCGGAGTCATGCGTTGTGTTGAAGTAGAAGCCCTCTTAGTCTTTGGCTGAGACGACGGGATATCTGGGGATGCAGGACGCTTCTTGGAGACGGCGGACTGCGTCCCACGCCTCTCCTCCGAGGGTAACTCTAGCGGAACACCAGACGGGAGGGGGTCGTCCGACAGCAGTTGACAGGGGTTCAGATGTATCAGCCATGGCTAGACTCTGCTTACGTGACCTATCTGCTGCGCGTCTCAAGACGCAAAGTAAATATTTGTCAAAAGCAGAATTAGACAATTTATTACAGTAACTGCAACGTGAAGAAAATGAGCATGGTGCAGTACAGCTAAGGCATAATAAATGCGGATCAGCAGCAGAAAAACGTAACCTGCAAACAGTACAGATTTTCATCAACGTAAACTACTGAACAATCACGGCGTCCTGTGAATAAACAGCAGAAATACGAATAAATATCAATACATGATTGTTGAAGGATACTAGCTAAACCTCTATAGATGACTTAAAGAGGTAACTAAATAAGAATAATCAAAGGATATAGTGTGTAGGGAGACACAGGCGCTCTCACATCCTGCTCACTGGGCGAAGAAGGAGAGAGTGAACCATGTGGGAAGCGGTGGCGCCTCCTTTCCCGCGCATTCGGAAAGGGAAGTAACTCGTGGTGAGTACTAATTAGTGATCTTACATTGAAGGGAGCTTCAATTAGGGAAATAAAAGTGTTCCACTATGTTCGCAAGAAGAAGAAGACAAGCAAAAGAGCATGAGTCAGGATAAGAAAAAATAAACAAGTATATCATGAAAGTAGTGAACTCTTCTTTTTCAGTGTTCTACAGAAAGTCCTAGGCCCAGTTCCACAAAGCAATCACAGCATTAGACATTCATAACTCATTTACTGTTATAGACACATGACAGTCTTAGAGCAACAGTCACTTCGTTGAAGTGCCCAAGTGCCCTTGTGGCTGGCTGCTGTAGCATGTGAATGAGTGAGAGATGGTTTTATGCCACTTTAACTAAGCAATACTCCATCAATATGTCTGGGAACACGAGAAATGGGCTTCACACATTGTTCCCACGGAACCTACGAGGGGATATTAAACAGTTCTAATTATCACCATGAATTTATTGAGAAATTAAGATGAAAATTTGAAGGTAACATCAGTGATCCTTATCCAGTTAATGGACCAAAAACTATTTACTTCACTTTGTTCAATCCTGTGCTAGTTTATCCTAAACACGAGTAACCCCAAGTATGGAGAAGATTGAGGCGTGTTATCAAGTTTTTGCACTTGAAGGGTTGTACTGCCTGACAGATTCACAAGGAAATGAATCTGTTTATGGTGAAGATAGCACATCTTATGATACTGTTATGAGATGGAAAAGGAATTTTCAAACCGGTCATATCTTCCCCACAGATGAGCAAAGAAGTGGATGCCGTTTTGACGATACCAATGAGGTCATTCAGTAGGTGGAGGGTTGGTTTTCCATGAAATCAGAGGTTCTATTCAGGCAGTCTGTACAAGGTCAAGAAATGTTGGGAGATATGTGAAACTCTGGATGGTGACTATGTAGAGAAGTCTTAAGGACAAGAGTGAGCGAGTGAGTTTAGATTTACCCCACACTCAGCAATATTCCAGCTATATGGCGGCGGTCTGTAAATAAGTGAGTCTGGACCAGACAATCCAGTGATCAACAGCATGAGCATCGATCTGCGCAATTGGGACTAATGACATGTGTCAACCAAGTCAGTAAGGCTGACTACCCGATCCCGTTAGTCGCATCCTACGACAAGCATGGGTTACTGAAGATCAATATTCTAAAACCGGACCTTCACGGGTCATTTAAGGACAAGAAATCAATGTATAGTTACTACCCTGACTACGTCTTGGTGACAAGCAAAAACTTTAATCACTAGGCTACCCCACCGCCTCTTCCTATAACATGTAAATCCAAGGTCACCCTAACTTTCTCCTTCTGATATTAGTGTTATGACAAGGAGCATGCTTAACTTCAAACACTGTTTCATATATACTAAGCAGCAAAAGAAACGTCAGTTTGGAATTTTCCATCGCAGAAACGGATAACTGTAAACTCATTTAATGTTTTGATTGTATATTTTTGACAACATCTCCAACTTCACCTGAGCAAAGAGATTCCTGCCCAAACTCAGAATGGAACCCAGGAAATGGTCTCAAAAAGGCAACCTGATCTTGGAGATGGTACAGTGTTCTCCATGTTTTTCATGCAACTCATGCTGCAAGTGTTGTTCACAAGGACCAGCCCTATAAAATGCACCCTCAAACTTGGTTGAAACATTCACATTACAACGTCAGCAGGATGCCGCGACTCACGACAGCTGAGGAACCAGGCGCTAGGAAGACCTGAAGCTGGCCACACTGCACAAGCTGTTGCCAATCACTTCCAGGTCAGCGTTCGGACCATCTACAGGCTGCAGCAACGTTTCCGGGCCACCAACACCACAAATGATCACCCCCGTACTGGCAGACAAAGGGTGACCACAAGACAACAAGTCCGCCATGTTGTGCGACAGCATGTACAGAATCCCTTCATGCAGTCATCCTAAACAGCATGCCAGACAGTGGGAACACCCGGAAGAGAAATCAGTACTGATACAGTACGCCGACGTCTTAACAGCGGGAACCTCTTACCATGGACCTATCCTCACCCCTCGTCATCGCCGCGAATGTCTATAGTTTGCCTGAAACACCAAAACTGGCGATACAGGCAACAGAGAACTGTTCTGTTCACAGATGAGAGTCAGTACTGCATATCAACTGCAGATGGCAGAAGAAGAATATGGCGACGACGTGGCCAGCGTTACTCAGACCAATGTGTTATGGAAAGAAACTCATGGGGAGGTGCAAGCATTATGGTATGGGGTGGAAATAGGCCTGAACAAGAGAGTGGGTCCTGTGGTGTTCCAGAACCTTGGTCCAGGGAGAGGAGGCAGCGGTGCGCTACATCGACCAAGCTCTCAGACCCCACGTCATACCACATTTCGCACGTCACCAGAACAACATTTTCCAGCATGATAACGCCGGGCCCATACTGCCAGAGCTACACAGGACTTCCTGCAGCACAAGGGTGTCAACATTATGCAGTGGCCAGCCCTTAGTCCTGATTTAAACCCAATTGAACATCTTTGGGATGAAATTCAGTGGAGACTGAATAAAGTCGAACACAGCCGATTTATTGCACCAGGCCTTTCTCAGAGTGCGGTTCCAGGTGCCAATGGCCTTCATCAATCGATTGGTGCACTCCATGCATAGGCGCTGTGCTGCAGTTATTTCCACTCATGGTGGTCACACTAGATACTGAAGTCAAGAGTCTGAATAGACTGCAAATGTTCACGTAATGTCTTGAACGAGTTATTCATTGATGTGTCAAGATATTGTAGACAAAAAACGTTTTTGATCCGCTTATTATGTCCATTTCTGTAATGATTTGATTACAGTGCCTATCCAATTTCGAATTCGTACTGACGTTTTTTTTGCTGCTGAGTATGTAAAGAGTACATTGACCAATATAGCTGCAGCCCTCTGTTGTCAATAATGGATCCACAACTCAGGTATAGTTATACAAAACTTTATTAATGATGTTAGGCATTGACTTTCAATGTGTACAAAGAGCATTCTCATTAAAAAAAAAGAAGATCATGCTGCAAAGAACAAGAAAATTATTAAAACATCAAACTTCAATGGTGGGAAATAGCTATACATAACAGTAAATGTAGAACAAGGTCAGAATAAACTTACGTGTACAACAATGTGATCTTCTAAAGTGGAAAACAGCAAAAGCATATGTGTGAATAACAAGGTATTCACCAGCTTGCAGAAACCAGAACTAATAGGGCACAGCAGACTCAGTGATGAAATCCTGAGTCAATTATTATACAGAAAGGGAGACAACTGTTGGTTTGGCAATTTTATTAATGTGTAATGACATAAAATCAAATACAGTTCAAATACTGTTGAAAGCAATTTGATTCTCCCTAACACTAAAACTGTCTATTTTCATATGTATCAAATCAAAATTAGTATACATGTTTTCAGCTTTTTGGTTTAGTTCTGAAACTTTAACTATGAATCGGAACCACTTCAAAAACTGTCAAAAAAAGCTTTCCCTGTTTTATTTCTGTTCTGTTACTGAAAGAGTGGGCAGTATATTTCCCAAAAGTAATATCATGAAAGTTTCTCTATCACAATTCCTATTGAGTGTTAGTCAAACTGGTTGTATAGTCACAACACTGAGACAAGTGCCTCTTCATTCGACACATTCCTTTGAATCATATTATAAAATCATCACATAAATAAACACATTACTATTTTACATCACAATAAACTGATTAGAAGGTGGAGACTGTATTGAAGAACCAATCAGTATGACATCACTTTTACATATGTTGACTTACCAGCACATGGAGCTCTATTATCACCAACATCCTTATCACAAATACAGCGGTGTGCCAGGCATATTATGAGGAATGATCTATAACTTGTATTTTGGCACATATAGCCTCGTGGACTACTTGTATGTGAATGAGGAAGCTTGTATAGACCAGTCAGCAATCTCACAGTGAGTTGTGCTTTATACAGTTTGAACAGTATATCAGTTTGAAGGTATGTCAGCCTGTTGCAGACAAACCAAAGTGATGTAGGCCATACAGCCACTGTGTTCTTCGAACCCATAAAACATGGATGGTTCTGACAAACCTAGAAACATAATCAAGGCAAATGTGGGATTCAAACAAACCATCATAGCCTCTGGCCGTTCCAAGGAGCCGACTCAGTGCCTGTGTAACTGAGTTTGGTTCCAAGGAGTGAGCAGCGGTCCATGGCTGTATAGTAAATTGCCAGACACTATCAGTTAACCATAGAGCACCTTCCACCTACTGACAATGCCAGGCTGCCATTGTGACTGCCTGATCAGCACACTACAGCTGGAGATCCTTGTCCAGGAGGACCATGCTCTGTGTACAGATCCTCGTCCAGGAGGACCATGCTCTGTGTACAGATCCTTGTCCAGGAGGACCATGCTCTGTGTACAGATCCTTGTCCAGGAGGACCATGCTCTGTGTACAGATCCTTGTCCAGGAGGACCATGCTCTGTGTACAGATCCTTGTCCAGGAGGACCATGCTCTGTGTACAGATCCTTGTCCAGGAGGACCATGCTCTGTGTACAGATCCTTGTCCAGGAGGACTATGCTCTGTGTACAGATCCTCATCCAGGAGGACCATGCTCTGTGTACAGATCCTTGTCCAGGAAGATCATGCTCTGTGTACAGACACCTGCAGCACTATCTACATGACGCTGAGGCCTGGCTAAATAACAACCATTATTCCATAGAAATGATATTTCATATTTGAATGCAACATGTTATTTCCTTACTGTGGATGTGGCAAAGTTTAAAAGATGTGAACTGCACAAAAAACACTTAAGACGTAAGCATGAATACATCACAATGTGCAACTGCCAATTAGAAAAGGAGTTTAAAATAGATTTCATTTCACCCTGTGAGGTAAAAACACATAGATCATAAGTATCTTAAACAAGGATATTTCTGAAAAGTGGAAATATCCTGTTAATATTTAAAACAACACAACATACTAAAATGGTCAAGTCTTACCTGACAAAACAGTTGGCTAAAGCATGACCCATCAGTGTTAGAAATATGAAATTATTCCTAATAAGACAAGATTGCAAAGGGTTCAGTGTTTCTGACAAACAACATCGAACATTAGGCCATAATAAATCATTTGATTTACATTTGTGCCTGCCACATGTCATTTTATCCTTTACAATCAGCCACAGATGCAAAAAACTCACTGTCCAATCGCTAATGTCTTTACTTTATGAAATACACTACATGATAATAACAATACTTCAATTGTATCTGTTGACAATAATAGCAGACAGATTCCTGGATCAGTTTGTTAAAAAAGTTAGTAAACAAATAGAACCTCCTCCTACTACTACTATTTTTATACATTTAGATCAAAATCTAAAATTTAATTTATTGTAGCTTCAACAAATATTAGGTACAGATGTACTCTAACACACAGATCAGAAAAACAAAGGCAGAGCTATGGGGAAGCAGTGTACACAAAGTCAGAGATCAGCAGGGTGATAAAACCAGTATCACATGGTACCGCAACATCCTGGTGATAACTGCTATATCACATGTCTAACAATCATCACTACTTCAGCCTATGATCACAGATTATCAAATCAGTCTGTATAAGTGTTATCATGTTATGTGACATATTGCAGACATATAATGTGATGAATAATATTGATCAGTCAAAGTTCAAAGTGAACATTAAACCTCAGGATAAGACAATGCAGCTAAATAATCTTACAAATGTCGTCTTTAAAAAACTCTATACCTGATGACTCTAATCATCACTTTCTGATCATTGATTAAATCTTCGAACCAAATACTTATAGTATTTTCATGAGAACCAACTCTATAGTTTCCAGTTTTCTGTGTTGTAAAATGGTAAAAGACAAAATATTAAAATGGTCAGACCAAATTGTTGTTTGTTATAGATGAGCCTATCGAATCTTTAAAAAAATTATAAAAAAGTGTATTTGATTGAAATATTTTTGGATATTATTTATGTTAAAACCTTTTTTTCACTGACAAATTCAAAAGAAATTAACCATGACACAAAATAAACATTATTTTGCCTGATCTCATTACATTTTACCACAAACATCTGTAACACAAAACATTGAACTGGTTTGGATTGACAAATCTTTAGTTATCACATTGTAAACTTGATAACCAGTGTTATACAAGTTGCTAAGATACACTTCTGTGTAAAAACACAACACCTACACAGAGACAACATGCTATTAAAAGTCTATAAACATAGCATCCAATACATAGATTTCATCTATCACATGCATCCAGGCATTGGCTTGACTGATACTATTACTGATAGAAAAGTATAAAAAATTTAAACAATGGAATGTACACAACAAAGCAAACTAGATGACATACAAAAATAGTACCAAAACAATAAACATTCTATCTACACCTTTAGCTAGGAACACATGTTGGCACTAGCAAAATATGCATAGCAAAATACACATCTTGAAAACATTTTGTCTGTCCATACTTCACAGACCTTAGGAAAAGAGCTTATTTATAAAGTCAAAATAAATGTCATGACATAAGTGTATATTTCGATGTAGTTTACCGAATATAAGTAAAAATCGTTGTCCTGATTTTAAATTTGTATTGCTTACTACGTCATCTGTTAGGTAGCTCTTCCTGGAGAAATCCAGTTATTCACAAAAACAAAATTATTTGGTCTTTCAATAAAATCTGTTTAGAATGGACAAAATACTTAAGAAAATAGTGATTGACTGGCTTAACACATTTGAAGTACTGCTGCAAAAATAAACTAATCTATTGCATCCTGGTGACTGACTAGACAACACATAAGAAAGTAAAGATCAATGGATGGTATGATGAGGCGACCGTCACATTGAAAGTGTGTGCTCGCCAATATAACTTGGTGTGGTTTGTACCTGTCATAGGACCCTGGCAAATACATTCATCAACACTGATATCAACATATATAGGCTTAACATTTGCAAGACAGGTAGCTTTACATGATTACTGCCTTGGCATACATAAATCTTGGAAACAGATCAGGCTTGATTGTGTTAATATTGATGCCTAGTGTTGAATACCCTGGTGTTAATGGTATTCAGAGTTAATGGTGTTAAATATCCTTCTATCTATGCTATAGAATCAGTGTTAGTATAGTCAGGGCCAAAATCAATACCTATCATCCAGTATATTTGTAGGGCGTCTCATGCAAACACTGAAACAAATGGCTGGTAAACTGCATTAGCACGAGTACTGTGGATGATGATGAGCAAGCTTGTAGCACACACTGACGAGACTGCTGGTCATTGCATATTGATTATGATTAGAACTGAGCTGAAGCTGTAGCACAATTTGCAGGAACTGCCATTATGGTAAAAATAACAAATGCAATTAGAAGCTGGCCTGTCTCCATGTACAGCTGGGATAACCTTGCAACACAAATTGGTAACTGTTTATGATATTTAGTACACGACCGCAAGAATGGGTGATCGTTGTAACTGAAATGTGAAATGTCCAGATCGCTATTACACACTGATATGACTAAATGACAATTTGCCTGAATTATGTCAGCTTTCCTTCCAAGTAATTTTCTAAAGTGATGAGAAACAAGATGATTACAGGTAATGTGGCCTAATCCTGGTTACATCCTGGTTGGCCTTGTGACATACTCAAATACAACAGGACCCAGAAATGAAGCCAATCAGTTATTTTGGAAACAAAACAGTCAGTCTGTTTCATGACTAGAGTTGATTAATGACAAGAATACTATCTTATTGAGCCAATCCCCAAGGACAATGAACATCCATCTAAATGAACACTGTCACAATAGAAAGAGTCTGATGTGTTTTTCATTGAGAGCAAGCAAATATGTTGCTACATGTTTACAATAAAATGAGCAGCCTTTGCTTTGTCAAATGAGGATTATTCCTATTCTGAAATATCTTCATTTTAAGGTTAAAAAAAAATTGCTTCAATGTCAAGGCCAACCGACTGTACCTTTCTTTTATTTTTGAAATACTGTTAAGAATCAGCTTTGTTAAGTCATATTTCCTCTATTAAACCAGATTGTGGCTTTGAGTGTCTGTCCCATCAGTACATGTAGCTGGCTTACAGTGTTACAACTGGCCACCATGTAAATATCATGTATAGCTCAACAATGAAAGCCCGGTAAGGAAGTCTCTATATACATTACAGCAACCGTATAGCAGACAGCACTAGGACAACAAGAGTATTATACAGGAGGATACATAGCATTGATAAACAGAATCTAAAAATAACAAAATCAAACTATAATCTATAAAAAATACACACTTGAGATTATGTCACTGATGTACTCAAAATATCAGAAACTTCAAATCACTTTGCAACATACAAATGAAATATCAACAATAATTATGTTTCATTAAATTATTCATGCTTTTGTTTTCTTTCAGGATTGCTTTCTGGGGATGCACCTACATTTCTGACCTTGTGCGTTTAACTGGGAGTCAAGAATATACAATCAGTTGAAAAAAGACATTTCTGACATCATCAAACGTAATGAAAACAACATGTATATGAGTATGTTAAGTACAATTTTATATAATTTGGTGATTTGAAATTTGCTGACATAAAACAATCAACATGAAATTGAGGCATATCTATACATTCAGAACAAACATATTATAACCACAGAACAAACATATTATAACCAGAGGAGTTGCAGACGTCTAGAACTCTCAGCTAAAATGAACAAGGATATCTCTGGACATAAAATACTTTTGTGTAACACCATACCCTCATATGTTTACAAAACACATCCAACCAGCCTACTGGGACAGCTCTGTTACAACAGCAACAATGTCCTGATCATTACTGCCACACACCAACACTGAAGCTTCTGCAGATCAACATAACAGAATAGGTACATATATATTTACAGGGAGAATCAATTCATAAAGGCGCAAGTGAACAAAAGCGTGAATCTGGTGAGTACTGCCTTTGCTCCATAAGAAATTAGAAGTCAACGCAACAATCTTTGAGAAGCTGATGTTAAAGGGATTGATGTCCCATTGCCATTTAATTCTACAGAAACTGAATATTTCACCTACAATTAGAATGCAGAGTTGTCATTGAGCCAATGTATGTAAATAAAAGGGTAGAGAAAACTTTCCAGGTAGAGAAAACTTTCCATGCAAAGTGTGTCAGTCTGGCATATTTCGTGAGTGTATCTCTGTATGGTTGGAAGGAATATTGGTAAGCTATCAGACTGCAATTCTATTGTAAGTGCCATCACTTGAGCATGATGTTGCACATTAAAATCATTATAACAGAAATATCTTGGTTCAGATCCTAGTAGAGTTTGGTTTCAGTTTGATCAGTATCTCAGTTTTATACTTGCACATCAGTGTGGCAGATGAGCGTAGAGTGGCACTGGTCAAAGACACTCACCTCTCTGGTGAACCTAACTCAAGAAAAGTGGGGTATACTTGTAACTGAAGCTGCTTTCCTACAACCAACTGTGGATGAAATACAGGTTTGACTTTGGTTTAAGACCAATTGCATCAGTACTTCAGTAATACTATGACATGTCTGTTTCATGCAGGAGGAGAGCTAAGTGTCATGTGAAATGTCAAAGCAAACCAAGGAGAAAGGACAGAATACCGAAAAAATAAGTATGAAAGATGAGACAACAGCTTTGACTGATCCGAACAACAAATGTAACTTCATGTACTTGTGCATATTAACAATGGCAGAAATAGACAAATTCACAACAATCATCATTCGATGATGTGATGACTTCAGTCTTCTCTTCACTTGACAATCACAGCCTTGGGCACACATCCCATGCTCTTGTCCAACTCACCACCATGTACAATTGAGTGGCACTGGTAATCAACAAGTGTCATTCAAATATCAATGGAACTAAACAAATTTGGATAGAGATACAAGACATCCCTTCTAAGTACCTGTTTTCTGTACAAACTCTGTAATGAACACATGTAAACTATGCACTGTTATGTAAATGTTCTGTCGTTATAGAGGACGCTTATCAAACTCATTTGCATATAGGTTAGTGGCTCCTATTAGAACAGGTGCAAACTACTCCAAATCTTTTATGTTTTCAATATGTCACGCTGATGAACCATCGTCCAAAGGAAACAGCCAATCCTGTGTGACACTATGTCCCAGATCTCAACACCCTATATACAGAGTGAGCAAGTTTTATATACACAACACAAGACACCATTTCAACAATCAACTGGACAACAGTCATCTTTGGATATCATCAGTGTAAGTACAAGAGAGCAGTAGCACAAGCAGCATGTTCTGAGGATGAAGAATAAAAGGAAAAGTCTATGGACATACAGACATGGTAAAAATGGAAGAGTACACTTTGAGGTGATTCCATCAATGCTGAAGCAGGGTTGTGGATATGCAAGGATTGTCTCGAACCTCTTCATGATGAAATAAGATGGAAGATTCCACTTTCCAGCAATGCTGATGGAGGATATTTACATATTTATCTCCTACTTCTAACTTGAAATATCTCAGCAGATACTAACAACCATTAGTCAATAGGAGTCAGTGTGGAGCTAACCATGTCATCACGGCTCAAGGCAGATATCTTGTAAATAGATCTTGGGCATCAAGAAGTGGTCCTTCCTGATTTTCACTTGTCTGAAGACTAGTGTCTAGGTCTAACCCTCATCAAATATCTTCTTTGTTGAAGAATCAAATGTACAAACAGGAGAAAGGTCACCTTAAACTGGACATGGCATGCATCTGACATTAACCTGGTAGTTTCTCCTATGAACCAGGTATTCCATTTAATGAACCTGCTACTTCCTTCTATGAACCGGGAACTCCATTTTTTCATTTCAAAATTTGTGCGATGAGCATCATCATATTCAATACTGGTACATGATTTAGTCACTGACATTTCCATCAGTCATGTTTTGAGTTCTGTTTATCTTCATCACATTTTCCTCACATTCAAAGTCTTAAAATCTTCAAAGACAATAATCTTAAAATCACTACTGTCATCACTTTATCAATTAACACATTCATACTGGTGGTGACGGTAGATATTTAGGGGATAGTTGTTTGAGGAAACAAAGATTGACTTATTAATGGGATGTCATGTTTGGGTCATTGTCAGTTATGTGAACTTGATGAAGAAATGAAGACAATTACGGCTGATGAGTCTGTTAAGTACTGTAAGTACATCAGATGTAGGTAGATACGGTTCCTCTTTAACACACACCTGCCTGGCGCCAAGAACTGCAGGTACATCAGAGGTAAATAGATACGGTTCCTCTTCAACACACACCTGCTTGGCACCAAGAACTGCAGGTACATCAGATGTAGGTAGATACAGCTCTTCTTTATCACACACCTGGTCGGCGCCAAGTACTGTAAGCACATCGGATGTAGGTAGATACAACTCTTCTTTATCACACACCTGGTGGCGCCATGTACTATAGGTACAGCAGGTGCAGGTAGATACAGTTCTTCTCAAAGACACATTCTTAGATTGAGCTATTAAATATAGGGTGCTGTATTTCATGTCTGTGAACTTTCTCTCCACATAATTCATGGAGTCAGATAGTACCTTGTCTTAAAGGTACATAACCGGTGTTCACTTGTTTCACTCGTAATGATTTGTCAACTTTGTAAGCACCTATTGTCAATAGTAACTTTCAGTTATTTATAAATGAAGTATTCATGACTGGTACCCGGCAGGTAGATACATGGACCAAATCCAACCACCCATGGATACAGTGATATACTTTTGGTTGAAACGACTCACCAAGGTCACAATCTGACATCTGTAAAAATACTATATTCTATTACACTATTCCCAGTAAAAGCTATGTAGCTCTCTTTAACAAATCATTTTTTGAAATCATATGATCATGTTATTTCAGCACCATTACATGAGAACTTCAGGTGAGTATTGAGAATTAGAGATGCTGAAGTAGTGAAGTGAACTGGAAATATTGGTGAATCCCTTCAGCCCCAGTTAGATATGGGCGATACAATCACTGGTCCCCGGCACTTCTACATGAATGAGCAAGTTATGAGCAGAATTCAGTATTTGGTGTCTTCAGGTCAGCAGTAGGTAACAATCTCATAAATCTGGGCAGCCCCAGATACTCTCACCTTCCGATGAGGTTTCACTCTCATCTTCCATCATAAACTACATCTACATTACACAATGTTGGGTAAACCAGAAACATGTCTAAACATGTTTAAGGGCAAATGGAGCGAAGGAATAAAGAAACTTTGTCACATATGTGAGGACATTAACTAAAATAGTTCCAGTGTAAACTCAATCTATTGAATAAAAAGTTTAAAAGGATGTACATCAATATACAAAATGTAATGACTACAGTTCTGAGCTAAAAATATATCTGACAATAAAATCATTCAATCAAATGAGTCAGTGCTCATTTCTGCTGGTGGTCATGTGATCCGTTCTTCCCTGGCTGCCTCATGTTTCACTGGATCCCTGCATGGCCCCGGGGTTGGGGGCCAGGTTATTGTACTGCTGCATACTGCTATACCTCCCAGGATGGTACTGAAAGTCATGTAAACAGAAGTACAGCATATATAACTCGCCACTATCCAAGCCATGCATGTTAGAATGCATACAGCAGCTAGGCTCTGGTCAGATGATCAAGGAAGGCCGCAGAGGGGACAGGTGAGCAGGGACAACATGATCAGACACAATGAAGGAAATAAAGCCTTTTGTGATAGGTAGGGTAATGACAGAACACCATGGTTACCATAAACTGTGTATCCAACATCCAACTGTCCTACAGACTGGTCTTACTGACAATGCAACAACGGAGGATGACGTCATAAATGATATGACATTACCGGATTAGTCTTTATGGTGTGATGTCAAAATGGAAAACTGATGTTGCATTGGAAAAGGTAATCTACAATATGATACAGTAGTCACCAATGTGATGCCGTAGTTAAAGATTTATAACAAGCCTTTGGGAATTAGTCATCTAATAGTGAAAATGTTTGTAGACTAAAGTATTAGGACACCAAAATTGGTACTGTTAATCAAAACAATCTGTATACTTTAAAACTTAGCCATTCACTGACTTGAATACACACCATCGAATCCCAAAACATTTTTACGGAACTGCCTGTTAGATAAACATATCTGTGCTAAGTTCTACCATAAGGATGTTATACAAAAGACGGTAACTCCTTTGTTCTTCCCATTCCTTAAGCACTTTGATATTTCCATCTTTAAAGCGCTCAACATTGGTACAGCAACGATTATTGCACATATCTTTTGACAATTTATTAGTTGTATTCCAATGGAGCATGGAGATGAAAACAGGAAATAATACTCATGGTCTTACAGCCAGGTGATAGAGAGGAAACCAGTGGTTGATATCAAGAGTGACAACCAACACCATTTGATAGGACAGACAGATCACCAGTGCTCTATTGGCTCTTATGACCAAAATAAGTAAGTGTCAAACATAGCCTGCCCAGGAAACCAAACATGATGCTCACTTACAACCTGAACATGTCCCAGCTCAGAAATTAAACTTGAAAAACCCTTGATTAAATGAAGTCTAGAATACTTGATTAAGTTCATGCAAGTGATGACCACTTCATATTTATTAATCACAACCAGTTCTTTTATATCAGTCAATAAAATAAATAGATTTGAAGCAAATTACAGAAATAATTATTAGGGTTGATAGGCAAATGCAGCTACAAGCCAAGTTGGAAGTATGAAGATCTACTGGTTGAGGCACAGGTTATGATCATGGTATCGTGAAAGAGAGAGAGGTAAGTAGCTTTCCAGCAATACAAGAGAAGAATAAACAGGCTACGTGATGGCAAACTGAACCAAGGGTGTATCATCAGTGTAGTATTAAGATAGGCTTGTGTTTTGTATTTCAATACATTATTTTTAAAAGACATCTTCATTTTCAGCCAATGTTTCAAATATCAACCCAAAACCAATGTCACCTTGATAAGCATCTATGAGTACTTTAGTCTGCACTGGTAAAGCACTAAACACTGTTTATTGAATAATGGCCAATGCCATAGGTATATCAGACAAGGATGTCACCAATGTCGAGATACTTACTGCGGGAGGAGGTGATTCACCCATTGGCAAGTTCAAGGTTGCACCAGATTCTTCATTAACACTTCTGAAACAAACAGTTCGTGACAAACATTTCATTGGGAATTTGGCAATTTACTGGAATCTACTTGGTGAATCAGAGGGAACAAAACAGATGATTTGATGCCTAAAACAACATACCAGAATGAATACACTTTGCCCTATCACACTTACTTAGAAAGATATGGACAGTGTCAGCCTTTAGCTGTCATCCTATTTAGTGTAATAAAACAAACTGTCATGTTATTCAGTGTAATATAACAAGCTGTTACCTTATTTAGTGTAATAAAATAAGCTGTTACCTTATTTAGTGTAATATAATAAGCTGTTACCTTATTTAGTGTAATATAATAAGCTGTTACTTTATTTAGTGTAATATAATAAGCTGTTACCTTATTTAGCGTAATATAATAAGCTGTTACCTTATTTAGTGTAATAAAATAAGCTGTTACCTTATTTAGTGTAATGCAATAAGCTGTTACCTTATTTAGTGTAATAAAATAAGCGGTTACCTTACCTGGTGTAAAAAATAAGCTGTTACCTTATTTAGTGTAATAAAATAAGCTGTTACCTTATTTAGTGTAATAAAATAAGCTGTTACCTTATTTAGTGTAATAAAATAAGCTGTTACCTTATTTAGTGTAATAAAATAAGCTGTTACCTTATTTAGTGTAATAAAATAAGCTGTTACCTTATTTAGTGTAATATAATAAGCTGTTACCTTATTTAGTGTAATAAAATAAGCTGTCCTGTTACTCAGTGTAACAGAATAAGCTGTCATGTTATTCAGTGTAATAAAACAAGTTGTTATGTGATTGAATGTAATAGAACAAGCAGTTACCTTATTTAGTGTAATAAAACAAGCTGTCATGTTATTTAGTGTAAAACCAGTTGTCATTTTATTTAGGGTAATAAAACAAGCAGTCATGTTAATTAGTGCAATAAAACAATGTTTTTAAATTCACATTTGCATGTTTATCGTCTATATATGACGAAGATGCTAACATCTGAGTCACTCTGGCAAGTCACAATGCCTAATCATCTGTTGTCCATTAGCCAGCTCTCTCCAGCAGAGGATACAAGGAACCACGTCTACCCTGGAAGCCCTTCAACTACAGTGAGTCCTAAATACAACAGTAGGATGTCCCAGAGTAGAGACAGTTACCATATTGACCAAGCAGAGATCAAGGATTAGGCTTCTGGACATAAGCTTTAAGAACAACACAAGCAGACAAAAACCTCAAGACAAGCTAAAGCAAAAAACATTAGAAATATACAAGGAAAGTTCTATGGAGATACAATTTCTTTAATATAATATGAGCGAACGTTTCAGTGTAGCTACTAACACCGTTATCAAGCAATATCATCTGCTTGATAACGGTGTTAGTAGCTAGACCGAAACGTTTGCTCATATTATATTAAAGAAGTTGTATATCCATAGAACTCTCCTCGTTGTTCATCACACCAACTTCTAAATGGCACTCAAACAAGTTATTAGAAATATATTTGATGCAAATGTCCACAGTTGTTTGATGTATTGAAATTATGCATTGCCCTTTTGACATGACGAAAACAAATCTGGTGTACGACTGTATGTGAAGGTTTTAGTTTTCTGTCCCTCTTCTCTCATAATCTTTTCATAAGCACACAGTTTCATATCATAACTGGGGATGTGTGGGCAAGAAACCTATCACCTCAGTGCTGTTACATCAGGATTAAACTGTGCACAGCAAGAACCTTCTTGTTCTGTATCACATCACATGGTCCCCATCACATCAAGTATTGCTTCAAAGATGAGAACCTCTGTGCCTTACAGCCTAAAACATACAGTTGTAGTGAAGAGGAACAAGATCCCTCAGAAAGACACTAGGGATGACACAAACAGTGATAGCTTCTAATCAATGTCTAGGAACTGAGCAGTGTTGTATTGGGAATGTAAAGTTGTATCTTACATCAACCTGACCATGACAATCCAAGTGTTGCCAAGACATGATTGCTCATGTAAGTAAGTTTGCAGGATTGTCACCCTAAGTTTGAATGTCCAGGTTTTTGCTTCAACAGGCAAGTAGAAGGCACAGCCATTCCTACTGTCACTTCACTATTCTTCTCAAAGACTAAATAACAGTGTCTCTCATTGGGGAAATCCATACCTTGGACGTAACCCTGGTAGCATTAGCAAGGAATGTGAGGGATCGAGGGGAGATAACTCTGACAGATAATCATGATCATGGAGCTCTCCAGATGTAGAAGAGCATATTTGGGGTTGTGTGAATACAGATCGAGGTACAAAAATAAATTGCAATATACTGTGTCAAGATTAGAAATAATCTTTGTATTTTAATGCAAAACAAACCATTACCACAATTGTGCTTATGTTGTTTGTGTATCTAAATAATGTGCACTTGAGTTGCATGTCTAAAGCATGAAGGTTGATAGACATATGAAGGCTGCAGCTTCAAGGCATTTACACACCACACACACATCTGGCTCCACACTCTCAATCTAAGTTTCCCTCTCGCATACAACCTTCACACATACTGAAGATTATCTACTCACAACTGGACCCAATATTTTACATCAAATCAAACGACTGGACCCAATATTCTCTCTGATGACTAGACCCAACATTCAGATCCACACACATGACTAGACCCAACATTTAGATACACACACATATGACAAGACCCAACATTTAGATCCACACACACATGACTAGACCCAACATTTAGATCCACACACACATGACTAGACCCAACATTTAGATCCACACGCCAACATAACTAGACCCAACATTCAGATCCACACACACATGACGGGACCCAACATTCAGATCCACACACACATGACTAGGCCCAACATTCAGATCCACACACATGACTAGACCCAACATTTAGATCCACACACACATAACTAGACCCAACATTCAGATCCACACACACATGACTGGACCCAACATTCAGATCCACACACACATGACTAGACCCAACATTCAGATCCACACACACAACTGCAACTGGACCCAATATTCTGATGACTAGACCCAACATTCAGATCCACACACACATAACTAGACCCAACATTCAGATCCACACACACACATAACTAGACCCAACATTCAGATCCACACACACGACTCGACCCAACATTCAGATCCACACACACATGACTGGACCCAACATTCAGATCCACACACACATGACTAGACTCAACATTCAGATCCACACACACATGACTAGATCCAACATTCAGATCCACACACACATGACTGGACCCAAAATTCAGATCCACACACACAACTGCAACTGGAACCAATATCTACATCCAATCACAAAAACTGAACCCAACATTTACGAACTACTACAATATAACCCCCTATCCCCCCCAACTGATCCACTGATAGTGTAGTACTTGAACAACAATGTTACAGACAGTAAACATGTTTCTGACAAGTGTGGACATGGAGCAGAGGCAGGTTACAGGGGTTGTTTGTGACAAACACAAAGACATAGATTACCTACGTATATTGATATCATGAGACAAGAACCATTCTGGTATTTCAAGTGCTATATACAGTAATAAGTAGCATTAGTATATATGGGGCATGTTGAAACAAAATGAAAGAAGAAAAAGTGTATAACAAAATATACAAATACAGAGGGAAAATAGCAAACAGAAAATAATTCCAAAGATGTCCATCTACACAACAAGCAACAGTTGAGTCACCCTTTATAGCAAAACGAGGCATGCAAACATCTTCACTCACTTTGCAGTGGTATCCTCTATCCAAAATGGTCGAGATCCTTGCTCACTACCTCTAAATCAAAGTTCAACAGATTTGCATGACTGTCAAATTCTAAAAATTAAATTAAAGTTATCCTAAAATTGTCAAATAAGAAAAACATTCTACTTAAATTATCCAACAAAGCAGCAACTCTTTCCTGTATTGTGCTTTTTATATAAGGACTTAGTGGCTTCATCCATGCACTTTCAGGGGTAGCAGACTTCATAGCTTAATAGTCAAACTTATAATTTCTTGAGGACTTTCTTTGTTCACCCCAAACCTGACACTTTCGCCCATAGTAAGGGACAGGAATGTAAACAAAGCTGTGAATAATTCTTTCGGTTAATTTTCTTTTGTAGTGTTTTTCCCATTACAATTCCAGCACTTCTTAAAAAATGTTATTACCATTTTCAGACCTTAAGCCATAGCTAAAGCAATTGTTACTAATTTTCTGAGGCCATTTTTGCCACCATATCCTCAGTGAGTTAACCTCCAACAATGATTGCTGTGAATAGCATGATGTATGAGACAGTTAGAATGCCACTGAATCCTAAAGAAACAATTGGCAGAATGAAATAAATGCTCTGGATTACCGACCAAGCAGATTAACTACTAAAAGGCACACTGGATAAGCAGACTTGATCCTCAGTTGTACTATCACAAACACAAAGTCACCTCAAATGCTTAAGACAGAAACTGCAGACTACAAGGTCTAGTCCCGTAACTTGCCAATAATAATTTGTACATTCAAATGCCATAAATGTGCTTGAAACAGTGTATGCAAGAAATAGTGTGGGCTTTCACAGCACAAGTCCTGAGAAAAGAAGTTACAAATAAACCCAAGCATCTTAATCAAATAGTTGTCTCTTTACAAAATTTGCTGTAACTGTACAACATTAGCCAACATGTAAAGTGTTCATTCCTACTCACACACTTCGCCGACTGAGGCTTGGGACACTATTTCCTCCTTCCCTCTCGTAACTCCGCATCGTGCCGTAGCTCTCATATGGTGGGGGGCGTGGCAGGAAAGGATCAGTATCATCCACAGGATAGTAGCCACGCCTACACACAATATAGTCTCATCAAACACTTGAATATCATGTTACCACACTCAAGAAACCAACAGATAGAATTATTGTAATTAGATCACTTTAACTAAATATTAATGTCAAATTGAAGGTTTTTAAATGACAAACAGTTTGACTATTAAATGAACATGTACACTACAAAATCAGCATTTACACAAAAAACAGATACTTAGGAAATAAAATTAGGTAGCACAGTGTACAAATATTTTAGTTCAGAATTTTTTAGACTTGGGTTTCAGACAAGTGACTGGAGTCGAAGACTGTAAAAGTGCATTGATGCAAGCGGGCCCAGATCATCACTGGTTTAACACATCAAACACATGTCTATCAAAAGTTGCTCCATTAATTCTCAGAAAATCAGTGTACAATGTATATCCTCAACATGATATGGAGGAACCCCTTCTTAACTAACCTTTTGCCAAAGTGTGGCCATGTGCGTGATGCAAATGCTATGGCAAACGTGACGGTGAGGCCCACGATCAGAGACATCAAGCACATGAATGCCAAACCAATCCTGAAGACAAAACACACACTTCAACCACAAGTATTCGCCTACAGTGTATCACACATACACACATGTGGTTTGTTTTCTTTGTTGCTTAACGCTGTACTCACCAATATTCTAGCTATATGTCAGTGAACTGTAAACAATCAAGTCTGGACAACACATCATAGTGATTGATGTGCATCAATCTGCACAATTGGAATATGATGACATGTGACCAGCAGATTCCGTTAGTCGCCTCTTTCAACAAGCACAGGTTGCTGAAGATCAATTCTAACCCAGATCTTCATGGGACTCGTACAAATGGAAACGCAATGCCAATGTCAAGAGATTTTAAAGAAAGGTTTTCCTTCTCTAACATTCCATGGCACACAATAATGGCATCAGGCAAAAATTACCTTGAAAGCTAAACATAATAACACAACAACCCATGAAGATCCGGGTTAGGATTGGTCTTCAGTAACCCATGCTTGTCGTAAGAGGCAACTAACATGATCGGTTGGTCAGGCTCGCTGACTTGGTTGACATATGTCATCATATCGATGTAGATCGATGCTCATGCTGTTGATCACTGGATTGTCTGGTCCAGACTAGATTATTTTCAGACTGCCGCCATATAGCTGTAATATTGCTGAGTGTGGCGTAAAACTAAACTCAATCAATCAATCAATAACACCACAACTACAAATTCAGCATTAATACCACAAAAATCTCACTAATATCATCAACATAAAGATATAATGGTCATTTTGTTGACAATTAAAACTAACAGTCAGATTCATTTAATAGTGTATCAATTAGTAAATGATATTTGACACATTAGTCAGAACCACTCCAGACTTTACACTGTCTGAGAAACACATCAATCTGGACCAGGAAGTACACTGGTTGAGAGACAGAGAGATGGAGGCATGCAGTCTGTACTCACATTGCTTTGTCACAGATGCCGTTGACAGACTTCACATAGTTGTTGTGGATGTGCTCACAGTTAACAACGTCATTCAGTGCAGTCAGGTTACTCACAACATATTTCAGCTCCTGACGCAGGTAGGCAACTGGCTTGCGAATCTAGCAAAGGATGTATAGGGGAGAAATAAGTGAGTGAGTGAGTAAGGGGTAGGTGTGCTTTTGGTAGGTGAGTGAGTGAGTGAATGCCACTTTCAACTACTTCAACTGTATTTCTGTCTTGTCAACTGGTCAACATACTCAAAAGTTTTAAAATCTGCAGTTGTAGAAACCCATTATCACAAGGTCACTGCCACTGAACCAAAGATTATGATCAGCAGATCCTAGCCTATCTAATGGGCTCAGCATGCCAAATTGAGCGCCTGAGAAACAGGGACACACGTAAAAATAATAAACCAGGCTAATAAAAAAAATAATCACTGTTTATGGCATTACCTTATTTGAGATGTTGTATGGCTTGGCAAGGGCGACAGTCTTGTTGAGTGCTGATGTGGCCTGGGCAACAGCTTCATTGGCTTTGACAATGCTCTAAAGTGGACAAAATGGATTTACACATCAATGTTAAACATAAACTATCACCACTACTAACTATGAACTCTAAGTGGAATAACATAGAATTAACCATTCCTTACCTCTGTGAATGGCTTGTTGTTATCTGTACAAGTCAAGTATGCTTGAAGCACATCTAAAATGGAAGATAAAAAACAAGCATTATCAAACTGCTGAAATGATCTGTATAGTGTTTACTTCTTTATGTCATAGGAATGTTGGATTTTTATCAGGATGAATCTGGGGTCAAACCCATTACATCCATCACAGTACACATATAAGGGGACACAACTCTGCACAGCAAAATGCCATGCCTCAGATGACAAAGCAGATTCTGCCTTTGCAGTGATGAAGAACTACAGAATACAACAGTTGAAAGATTTGAGATTATGAAAAGACAAAATGGCCTGAGTGACAGCATTTCACTGGGGCTAGGACCACAAGAGTTTTACAGCTCAATCATGAATATTTATGCAGCAATGGTCAGTCAGCTAGAATACATTCATTTCCCTACATACTACCCTCTTCACAATCAACTTGTATTTACCTTTCTTGACAGTACCAGATACCGTTCTCTGGACAAATAAGTCAGGATCAGAACACAGATCTCCTGTTGCCTGAAACAGATAACAGTTTACATGGTACTAGAAAAATGTTATGATTCACCATTATATTGATACATCACAAATTTAAATCATACCGATATGCTTACCTATGCATTGATTTTCAAATGTAATATTTACTCAGTTTTGTAGCCCAATAGGATAACAGCTCAGACAAGCACAACCTTACCTCCAATCACTAAACATATGCTAACAAGCCTACATTATCTAGTCAAGGAAGTTACATACAAAGTGGTTGCTAGCACAACCTTGTGTTTGCCTTGGAATTTTCAACAGAACAAACTAAGCATCTTTATGCAAAACTAATCAAACTTTGTAATCAAACGGAGTTCAATGTAAGCTACAAACTAGTTTTTATCAAGAATTTACTGGAAAATATGAACCAAGTATACAGAAAGTGAACTTTTAATTTCTTTTGTGACAATGTAGTTCAAGCATGTTTCCTCAAGTTATGAGTCACTGAACCTGTGAACTACCCACCAGGGATAATAAACAAGAGAAAACTTTGCCTAAACAGAGGCATTACTTTAAGTTCCAAGAAACCCTCCTTACCATTGAAACACCTATGTAGAATCCAGAAGCTCCCCACATGAAAATAAGGCAACAAAGACTGCCCACGGCTGCTCTGTAAAAGAATCATCAATAGGATGAGGTCCTGTGACAGTATCAGTATCACCCTACATGATCATCCAACCAACACTGGTACAAACACAGCTGTTGCTCAGTCAGAACTATCAGTAACACTGTAATCAACACCTACACCTTAACAGACATCCTTACGGCTGACCGTATCAAGTGTGAAGCCAATCACGTAATATTTTGTTTCATGATATTTTCAGGTGTCCATAAATATTTCTCCCCTTGTATGGGACCTCCATTCAAAGACTATACCAGTAATTGGTATGGCTAGGAAAAGCTGTTCAGCCTGATAACATGACACAACATAGAAATCCCGGCTTGGAATTATTGCATATATCCTTGCATATTTCAATCTCACATCTGAAATATTTAGTATTATTTTAAGATGACAATATTTAAATATATATAAAACACTAAAATGAAAAGCAACTATAATATATTATACATACGTCACAAGAACACACTTGGATGACTTAGCAATGCCAATAAGGAACAACAGATTCAGGAACACAAATAATGTATTGAGAATCAATGTTGCAAGCCATCTGAAATTGAAATATATATAGAGTATAGTGTAAAAATGTAATTTTTTAAGTAAAATTGATATTTATACTTATCCTGACTCATGATCTTTGCTTATCTCCCTTTCCCTTTCGAATGGTAGTGGAACACTTGAATCCCTTGAAGTTCCCGAGGCGGACGTACAATACTCACCCACGAGTTACCTCCCTTTGCCCTTTCCCGCGCAAACCAGTCATGTGACGCGCCTTACTTGTCACTCTCTCCTGATTTTCTGCCCATGCACTTGGATCTGCTGTGAAATCTCAAGTGTCTTCAACGAGGAGGCTGGGAGGGCTTGTTCGTCATGAGTCAGGATAAGTATAAAATATCAATTTTACTTAAAAAATTACATATTTTTCCTTATCCTGACTCATGATCTTTGCTTATAGAATCCGTTGGAATTGGTGGTGGGTCAAGCCACTGGATTCAACAGCTGTCCTTAGATACGTCCTGTATCCCCCATGGGAACTGCAAACGCATTTCCGTGGTCCTATTCTTCCAACTTCATGTAGTAGTAACTCGGGGACCACTCCTTGTCTTACTTCAATCTCAGACAAGATGAATCATGTTGATTCGTGTTGTTATAGATAAACTAGTATTCTCCTGTACTAGATATCTTATAACAACCCATGGATTATGATAAGGTCTTTATCATAAAACAGTTGCGATTACTTTATGTGCAGGTAAGGTTATTACCCGCACAGGATCTTAATCACTCATGCTAGTCTGTCCTAGACTGTGCGCATGGACTTTCAAACTAATACTTTTCCTAGTAAAAGTCATCTACAAGTCAACGTGATGAAGGGTGAGATTTCAACTCAGCGCCTTTGAGGAACCGTTAGTAGCTGTGCTACAACGAGAGGCCCAAATTGGTGATTGCCTGAGACGTCTTCAGTGGCTATGTCTCGGAGGTAGTGGTTGGCAAACATCGTGTCCGACTTCCAGAAGCAGCCCTCCATTATTGTCGGTATAGAGCAATTTCCATGTAGAGCTAGTGTTGATGCCAGTGCTCTAACTTCGTATGGGTTGGAAGCTCTAGGAGGTTCTAGTCCTGCTGCTTTATAGGCTCTCAGTATGACGGCTCTCATCCAAAACGATATCATTCTCGAGACCTCTGTCATTGTCTCTGTAGATAACGGGATGAATAGGCGCTTGAACTTTTTGCCTCCTTGTCTTAGTCCTTTGAAGATATATCTTCAGAGCTCTGACTGGACACAAGGATAAATCTTCTACATCCTCTGGGCCGAGGATTGTAGATAGCGCTGGTACATGGAACTGTCTATCTGGTTGACCAGGTAGTTGGTTCTTGGCGATGAAGTCCCATCTAAGTCTTAGATGTACTGCCTCATTTCGCCCTGCGTCGAATCTAGTTCGGCTGAAGTCCAGCGCATGTATCTCTGATATTCTTGCTGCTATGGCTAACGCTAGCAGGAACAGAGTCTTTTGTGTCAGCAACTCGAAGGTTGTTGATGTAAAGGTTCGTAGGCATCACTGGTGAGATGACGTAGAGTGACGTGCAGGTCCCAGGCCGGAGCTCTAAACTTCCTCTGCTGGTCTTCCAGTTTAAAAGATCTCAGCAACTCTAGTAGCTCTGGAACTTTTGTCAGTTTGATGCCTGTTATCATGGTGATCACTGAACTGATGGCAGCGAGGTATGTAGATAATGTCGAACCTTTAAGGTGTCTCGTCTGTCTCAGATGACACAGGTATTCCGCCACTTGAGGATGAGTCGCTTTTATCGCAGTGAAGTTCTTCCGCCTTGCATAAGGTTCAAACTTCAGCCACTTGTCGTCGTATAGACTGCAAGTTGATTTGCGTAGCGCAAGCGATACTCCTTTGCTGCTCTGGCAGAGTATCCTCTCTTCGTCAAGCATGCTTTGATACGGTCCATACGTGTAACTGGAACACTGCTGGGTTCCCATGTGCTTGCTTGGTGTGCGGATGTACTAGGAGGTTCGGCCACTCTGGTAGTCCACCAGAGTAGATACCTCTTGAGGTTGTCTGGTAGCGAGATGGGATCGACGCTGTCTAGATGTTTTGTCAGGAATCGATGCAACGGCCTCAGTTGTAATCTTCCTGTACGGGTTAAGTCTTGTGCTGAGGTTAGTAGACCCAGTAGAACTTGCCATGATCGTAGTGTAAACGGAGAGAAGACTGCTTGTGGTATCATGGCTTGTATCTTAACCCAACGATCTTCTGGGATGACAATACGGTTCTCTGTTGTGATGATTCCCAGCAATAGAAGATCTTGTTGATTCTAACTGCAACTTCATCAGGTTAATTAGCCATCCTAGTTGCGTGAGCAACTTAATTGTGAAGTTCAGCTGCTGTTAAAGTTGATTGGCACTTTGAAGAAAACTGCATGCCGTCGTCCAGATACCCGACACTGCATAGACCTCGATGTTATCGATCGGTGCCGATAGTCTTGATTATTCGTATGAATAATAATCATAAAGCCGACAATATTCCAAACAGTAGGATCTTCCATCGGAAGTGCTAACCTCTGATTGCAGTGATGATACATCATTCTTCCCCTCTATACGGAGGCGATCTGTGCTGATCAGCATACTTCGAAGCATTGTCTATTTATAGCACAGCTGGGTGCAGTGTAGCCTCGCCGGGGACAGGCACTCATGCCGACTTTCCTCAGCAACAACTTCCAAAATAAATCTTGTTTATGCTGCTGTGAAGGGTAGACATCTATCAGATTCCCCAGATGATAACAGGCCGTAGTTGTATACTGTTTACATGGCTGTCGATGAAGTAATCCCCGCACAGCGCCTTTGTTTACAAGTCAGTAAACGTGCTGCTGCTTGCTCTGTCAGTGGGAGGCGTCGTCTGACGTGGACCAATCAGCTTCCGGCGTGACGCCACCAGTCTTGGTTGAGTAAAGCTGCGTACCTCTACGCCGCTCATATAAACCTCTTGAATAAGGGTTGATCCAGGCGTAAATTCTTGTTCAGTGATATAAATCACCTCTTCCCACTGTAGATAATATAAGCCAGCATGACGAAGTAGGCTGTCGAGACGTATATCTGCAAAACTTGATATATCAGCTTGATAGGTGATATCATCTTGAAGTCAGTCATCAGCATATATGCAGTACGTCTCAGATGGGTTGGAGTGAGTGAGTGAACGACAATTTCCGCAGGCCATCTGCTACCCGGTATATATCTCCGCATCCGTGTAGATGAAGGGATTCTTTCATCAAGTAGGTTGCAGAGTTGAGCAGGCTGCAAACTGTAGAGATCGCACATGTTGTAGATCTTTTTGTTGAGTTTACGTAAACATTCTGCCTGTTGACCTAAGGTTCTTAAACCTTGGATTCGCGAACCCTGTAGATGTCTGCTTGCTGATATCTGCCTGTAGATCTGAGAGTTCGCGAACCTTGTAGATGTCTGCTTGCTGATATCTGCCTGTAGATCTGAGAGTTCGCGAACCCTGTAGATGTCTGCGTTTGTTTGTCATCATGCATCTGATAGGAGAAGATATCGTCTGTATCTTTAGATGGTGACTGCAGATTCAGGCCGTTAGCTATCCAGCTGTAATCTCTGGATCAGGAAACACAAGGTCTTCTTGTTGTTCCTGTAGTGGTTGTTGAATAGAGCTGATACTGCGCTGTTCATCTGCCTGTGAATCTGCATTCCCTCGTGTACTGTCCGTTCGCGAACCCTTCTCAGATGATTCCCCTCTTTGCGAACCTTTATCTTGGGAAAGATGAGTTAGCGAACCTCTAGATGACTCATCATCCTTTCGCGAACCCTTGTAATGAGAGCTGTACCTTCGCGAACCCTTGTAAGGAGAGCTGTGCCTTTGCGAACCTTCTACCGCCCGATTCATTCGCGGGTTTCGAATAATGAGAGCTGTGCTTTAGCTCTGCTCTGCAGGCTGCCACTGTAGGATGATCTATGCTCATGCGATGCTCTGTGGTGTGAGCCAGCGAACCTCTATGATGTGGTGAACAGCTTTGCCGCGTCTGCGAGATCTAGATCTGGAGCGACTTGAAGATGATGACGTCCAAACTTGTTGCTCTGCTGCGTCTGGAGTCTGAAGATCTCTCTGCAGATGACTGAGGGTTCGCAGAAGTAGATTGTTGAGTGAACGTTCGCGGAGAGGTGCACGTTCAGCGAAGCGTTATCTCTCACTGCCGATGTCTGCGTAGAGGGTTGACTGAGGCCTGTATCTTCACGCAGATCTGAGGGTTCACGAACCCTTCCTGCAGCTAAAAGGCTTCGCCGAGCATGTGCTTCTTCCGCGAACCTCTGCTCCATCATGGACATCATCTGGTTGGTGAACTGCGTCATAAACTCGCCAGGGTCGAAGTTCTGGGTTGTCTGAAGACGTAGTGTTCGCAAACGCTGAAGTGTTGAGTACCCCTGGTTCACTGCGTTGAGATGCTGGAGGTAGATCATCAGATATCTGGCAAGTTATGATCGTTGCAGGTGAAGATCTAGTCATAGATGTTGAAGAAATCGTCACCCTCATCGGTACTTCAGGTAGAAGTATCGGCAGATCATCAAAGACGTCTATCTCGTCAAGGGGTAGAATGTCTTCGCTGAAAGATCTATGCTGGGACGACTTCTTAGGACGCACCGACTTCCCCATAGCTGCAGTTGCCTTCATCTGCGACGTGGAGGATGACGTCTACTTCTTAAGAGACGACGTAGGCTGCGAGGTAGTCGTCTTCTTTTTAGCGCCCGTAAAAGCTGACTGCCCCTGTAACGAACTCCAGTTATCACCAGAATTATGCATCTCAACTGCAACAGACAACTCACGGCATGCAGGCTCATCTCTGCCTTCATCCTGGGTTTGCAAACCTGCAGCTGATGATTCCTCCCTGTGCGAACGTCTGTTGTGGGAGCGTTCCCTTCGCGACCGTCTCTCTCTGGAACCTTTTCGCGAACCTCCCTGTGGTGAGCTGTGCCTTCTCGAACGTCTGCGGGGTGATCTCGATCTGGATCGGCAAGGCGTAGAGGCAGGCTTCTTACAGGTTCGCGAACCTTGAGGGTTCGCGAACGTGGACTGCATATCATCTTGTAGTATGATGGAGTCGTCCGGTTGTGGAGCCATTCGCAGAGGAGTGTGTTCGCCAACGTCAACTGCAGTTGTAGCTCTGATGGGTGTAGATTCGCGCAGGCCAGTGGTTTGCGCACGATGCCAGCAGACTGTTGTGTCTTCCTTGATTCTTGCTGGAATCTCTGCTCCATCATGGCCATCATTTTGTTGGTAAACTGCGTCATGAACTCCCCTGGGTCGAAGTTCTGCATCTGTTGAATCGGCTGCGATGCTGTTTTCTGTGCCTCAACTTCTGTCCTCGAAGGAAGAGGTCTTATGTCCGACAGCTGGCCTGCTGTGACATTCATGAGTGATGATCTGGTAGTAGTAGACATCGACTGCGTCATAGATGTCATCGATACCTCAGGTAGTAGTATAGGGGGGTCGTCAAACACGTCTTTCTCATGAGGTGGTACGATCTCCTCGTTAGAAGATCACCGTCTTCTTCTTAGACTGGGACGGCGTAGGTTGCGAGGTTGACGACCTTTTCTTAGTCCCCTTTGCCGCAGACTGGCCCTGTAATGTACTAGGCAACACATCACTATTATGAACATCAGCAGCAAGTAACATATGGTTTTTAGGCTGATCTCCAGATTTATCACATGTGACTAGAGATGACTTTTTCACCCGATCCATGGCACGTCTATAACATAAGACAGATATTGATTAAATTGTAAGTCAGTTAAATCAATACAATAGATACAACGCAAGGTGGATGAACATGGATCTGTACACGATGGACATTGGGGGTGAAGATCAGCCAGAGACAACCTGTGTTTACACACACAGCACGATTTCAAGAGTTGTAAACACGGTTACAACACGATCAAAACACGACTCAAAGTCAATAAATTTCAACAAATTTTTACAAATAATACATCGTAATTATAATCAAAACCATACACAGCTTAATTTAGAAGAATAGGCCTAAAAGTAAACAATAATATTGCCGTATACGGGACTCCAGTGCTCGCCCAACCATCCGCTTGGGGGAAAAGGGAGAGAGTGACAAGTAAGGCGCGTCACATGACTGGTTTGTGCGGGAAAGGGCAAAGGGAGGTAACTCGTGGGTGAGTATTGTACGTCAACTTCGGGAACTTCAAGGGATTCAAGTGTTCCACTACCATTCGAAAGGGAAAGGGAGAAGAGCAAAGATCATGAGTCAGGATAAGGAAAAATTAAAATACTGAAAACAATAAAATATCAACAAATGGATCATTCTGTAGAATCGGTATCACTTTTCATTTTTTGTATCTTATCTTGGTAGTGATTTCATTTCAAACTCATTAATTCAGCTCCAAAATACCCTCCTAGAGGAACAAAGCCTCCATTCCAAGGTTCTTCAAGTAAAAGCTTCAAACCCTATCAACATTCCTTACACAAAAAAGCTAAAAAAGAAGAAGAGAGAAACAGTATCAGATGAATATAAATACAAAATTTTACACCAAGTCTAGGGAATATCCCAGCCATATTGGTGATGGGCCTGTACACAAAAGGCGAAACAAACCAAGGTTTTATAGCGTATCAATCAAAGGTTCTAACAATAACATCCCACTGTCCCTACCCTCAGTCATATCCATGTGTATCTTATTTGTTTACGATCTTTCAGTCACATATTACCATGTAGAATTTATTTTTAAAGACGAGGGAAATAAAACACTTCTGACCAAATCACCAGTTTGAATGTATAGCAAAGGGACCTGGAAGGATCTGGATTTTCCTTTCCATAAAGAAATCCATGCTGTATTCCACAGTAAGGATATTCGAAGAAGGAAGCTACTCTGCCTTCTGAATGCGTCTTCCATCTGAAAATCTCTCTATAACTGGTTAACTTATTACCCACCTGTAAAATTCTATGAAGTCAATCTCCTGTTTGATGACATGAAGATCAAAGCCACCTGTGTCATTTTGTAAAACCTTTATGTCTGTGCGGAATTCGGCTGATTTGTCAATGATGGTCTGAATCAGGCTGTGAATGGAATGCGAGACTGTTTGGTTTCCTATAGTGTCAGTGACATTCTCTAGTGCCTGCACACCACGCTTGGAGATCTGGTCAGCCAGCCTGTCCAGCACAGTCAGCTGAAACATAGGTCAACAAGTGAGTACAACTGTACAAGAGTACCTCAGACCATGGGCTCTCACATATCTTTTCTAACATTGATTACTAAAACATCTCATATTGTTTCCTGGTTTAAGGTACTACAATAAACCATAAGCAATCACTGTTGGAATCACAGTCATATTGCGTCTACTCATGCCTCGAATTGAGTGAGTGAGTGAGTAAGTATGGCATTACGCCGCTTTTAGCAATATGCCAGAAACTTCACAGCGGGGAACACCAGAAACAGGCTTCACACATTGTACCCATGTGGGGTATCGAACCCGGATCTTCGGCATGACAAGCGAACGCTTTAACCACTAGGCTACCCCACCGCCCATCGCCTCGAAATAAGGTGTAGTTGACAGAAAATGGATACATAGATATATTTTGTCTCGATAAAAGTCATATTTGTTGCAGCTGGATGATCACATGTCAAAACACTGTTTCTGCTGTGGAAATAGCAAGATCACACAAACCACATCAGTGACGAGTCAAATTGTTCCATGCATAAAATCTATCCATCAATACACCAAAGTGATATCGCCTAACCTTAGTTATGATTATAAATATTGTACATTCATAGAACAAACCCTGCAATTAAAATGATCTAATGCTGGAATATGTTTCTCTTGTCAAAGTAATAGTTTCAGATACTATATTTTCCACGATCACTGCATCCCTTTTATATTATTGGGTATGTGTTAACTAAATCACTGGTAGATCGCGGGGAACGTGTGCACAGCTGATTGCTATTTCTGGCTCTGTATGTGAGACATACACACGTTTGAGGAGATAGTGACTCACTGTATGTTTAGCATTCTGCAGTGTCTGGTTCGTATCTGCCAGTGAATCAGCAAGGTCATCTACACCATCATGTGTCTCCTCATTACCATAGAAACCAAATGCTAGTGCAACACTGTAACAGATTATAAGATTTGTATCAAAGTCAATATGGTATATGACATAACTCAACAATGTTAACTAAGCACCTTTCCTTGGCAACTTATATATTTTCCCTTGTATTACATAAATTCCAGTTCAAAAGAAAAATCATGATCACTTTGACTAATTTGCATGTAAGCAATTTCATAGAATTTGTTCAGTCTCAAACGTCTTAATTGAGATACTTGTTGAGATACAAGTGAATATTTTCCTCACTCGCTAAAAATTCTATCACATTTTCTTTCTTCCATTCAACTTTGCCTCTGAGGTCTACTTTAATCTGAACTAATATCAACATACCATCCGAGGGTGACCATGAGACCAATGAAGACCTTCAGACAGCCTGTCTTGCGTCGCTTCTTTGGTTTGTCTTTGCAACACTGAACTACATAGTAACAAGAGAACAGCAGCAGGGAGATTAAACACCACAACACTGGCAGGGCTGCAAAAAATATCAGCGCCTGAAACAGAAAAAAAGTAAAATCTAGTTCCATGTAATCCTCGATTATCCAGTGAATTATATCTTCATTATATTAGGATAAACATCCACTCACCACCACAGCTTCATTACACTTTCTCTTTTATCATTCACAAGCATAAAAGAGAAGAAATCTTCCAAATGCAAGTTCACAAATGTCTGCCTTTAAATTTCAGATGCATACGACAGAATCCTTGATACAATTCATCAAATTTGGAGAATGTAATGAAACAACTTACAGCTGGAAAGTGCATTTATAAATGGGGAGGAAATGCCTTATGCTGTTGTGCAAAACAGTATGCTGAACAGTACAAGTCAAGGAGAGTACAAGAAATATTGCCTCTTGTTTTAATCATGATAGATTGATATGCTATACTACAGGTGTGTCATTTGCCATATGGATCCATCAAATTGATAGATTTGTATGAGATACAATCATGTTATCATAATTCGGTTGCTATAACAAAAAAGTCATTATCCCTGTGGAAACAAGGGATCTGTACACATGTACCAAAACAATGTTCATGTTGAGTTCACAAACACTGATCATGTTGAGTTCACAAACACTGTTCATAAATTGGATTACTTTCTTTTAACTAGTCCAAACATAATTCATAGTAAAATTGAAGTATTTAGAAATTATTAAGAAATATAGAACTTATTAATTAATGTTCACTGAAGACTAACATTTAGTCAAGTAATCCCAGCTAGTTTTAGTCTTAGACAGGAAATTATGGTTTTAGCAAAGTTCAAGCTAGTCCACTCAAATGTTAGGGCATAGATCGCCATCACCTCTTGTGCTGCCACTATATTCATGAAATTATTATGTAAATCCTTTTCTTCATTATATATATCTCTGAAATAATATACCTAAAAAGCATTCACTTATGCATAGATTTCATGACATCCAGAAATGTCTACAGCCAATAACTGACACTTTGTAACACTTAATCTGCACAATAACTTCACCCAATTAGCAAAGACTTAGGAAGCACTTCAAACTAGTATGCTAATCAACACTTAAAGAGCTTTGGATAATTAACTGTAATTGGACCAAATACGCACAGGCTGAAAACAGAGGTTGTGCATTCATGCTTGACTAAATACTTCTATTTATAAAACAGAATCATTTAGAAAACTGATGCTTATGATTCTGGGCTAATTTACCACTGAAAACGTGGAGGGTCATAACACTCATGCTGCACCCTTTATGGGAATTGTGTCTTGTTTGAAATCTCTTAGTTTGGTTTGTTGTTGTATAGCACACTCAGCAATATTCCAACTATATGGCGTAGGTCGGCAAATAATCGAGTCTGAACCAGACAATCCAGTGATCAACAGCATGAGCATCATCAATCTACACAATTGGGATACGATGACATGTGTCAACCAAGTCAGGGAGCCTGACCACCTGATCATGTTGATCGCCTGTTACGACAAGCATGGGTTACTGAAAACCAATTCTAACCTGGATCTTCATGGGTTGTTTGTAATCAGTGTAGCTACTTCTATTGAAAGTGTGTACATTTTCTATAGTTTGGTTACTCTGCAGGTTTTCTCTGGTTGGTCTGTTGATAGTGATTGGGTGTCATTCCTTTACATAGTTATGCCTGTCACCTAAAACACATTTCTTATTTGTTCACAAATCAGGTGATCACAAATTACCAGCTAGCGTTTCTCAAACAAAATGCATGAACATATGTATCTTACCATAAGTACACAACTACATTAAACCCACACTTACAGATCGCAGGCCTTACCTCTCTATATGTTGGTCTTTCAGGGTCGAAAGTCGAGTTTGTGTATTGAAACGTCAAATCTATGTGTGGAAACGAGTGGAAAAAGTCCACTAGCCACGTCTGATGATACTGAACTGTTGACATGTTGAATAACCTCTAAGCCGTGGTTATGACACCGGGTCTGGTGGTTATACTGAAGCTTGCACTGCTTGCAAAGGGCTGATTACAAATGACATAAACAGATGCTGTCAGGTGCTCTCTCCGCCATATCCATCACGTGAGCTCCGCATTAAATATGGCTGAGTATTACTCATTAAATATTGTTTTAACGATTTCAGATTTTAAACGCGTATAATAACTCTACAAATACATAGTTAGTTAAGATGAAATTTATTGAATTTATATATCCCGAATAAATGAAGCGATTGTAACGTGGGCGTCACTCTCGAGCCTGAGTCAGAGTGTGACGTCACGCGGGCTTTCCCTGCCGTAAGCTGTAGGCCAACAGTATCGGTCGCTGTACGGAGCGCGACTTCCCGTGACGGGTCTCTGTTGGGGGTGCATTTCTGCAGGATTAGCAACCAATCTCGTCGAAAATTGCAAAGTTTTGCACGTGCAGAATAGTTTCAAGAAGAAACTGCAAGCTTTATCTATTGCATTAGATCCAGAACCTTTGCATTTTGGAGCGAGTGAAACTCCCTTTTTGAAACAGGTGTCTGTCCTCGAATCGTCAGCAACCAGGCACAAATATGCCACTACCAGGTAAGAGGTCAAACCAACATATCGGGTGCATAGCGCTCGTGCATCATCATGCATGCATTTTAATGGAGTATGCATGCATAACCCACAAAACGGGATGACCTACATAGCCCTGACCCGATAATGTAAACAATATAATAGACTGTTTATTACTTTGTATAACAAACTTGCTGCATCAGAGCCTCGCCGACTGGCGGACCACATCGCGAAAGAGCAAATACCTCTCTCACTGTCTCTGTGCATTGACGTTTGTCTGCAGGTAAAAGTTAAAAATATTGAGCTCCGTTTAAATACAGCTGATTCTAGCCCAATATCCTCCTAATTGCCTTTAATTTGCATGTTGCCATTCATTGCTCTGAAAATCAATTCATGAAATGTAAAAGTGAACTTTGATCACATGCCAAAATATCCCTACTCTGAGTGATGAATTGATGTGAAGTAATTGTTTGATCTTTATTAATGGGTTGATCTCAATATTGATTAATTAATCCAAGAATTATGTGGATATGTTCATGGAAGTCTGATGTCTGCAGACCTGTTAAAATGTTAGACCCAAATGTTACACAAGTTCAGTGGATCTCATCAAATTGAGTATTCATTTGGAGAGAGTTTGATATTCTTTTGGGTTCTTATTGTCTTAATGAAATCTCTTATGACTTTTTTCTTGATTGAAGCAAAAAGTTTCTTAAGAGCTCCAAATAATGAAACTTTAGCACACTGATAGTAATTAATACAACAGTGACTGTGACTATATATCTGTAAAATTGTGCTGTGAAAGATATTATATAATCAACAAGCCATGAGTAGATTTGGAGAAGAGTGTTTCATTGCAATTTTTACAAAAACCAGTGTGTGTGTGTGTGTGTTACAACTTATATACAGCTTTAGTATTGGATGATATTTGATAGTGAAGAATGACTGGAGTAAGATCTCTCTAGGTGACAATGGCCAGAAGTGTTCAAAGGTTAAGATGAGCTCATGGCACTGATTTCATATTTCCAATATCTCCAGAAAATGAAATTACAATACCAGAAATATTCTGCATTTACAAAATGTATGTTTTTCTTCTTCCTTCTTTTGATATGCAACTGAATAACTTGTTTAATAGTTGTGTTTTAATTGCAGGGAAAGATCCACTAATAAGGTTGTTTAAGTGACTGCTTGAAAATGTGTGCATGGCCATTATTTTCCCGATATTTGTGCAGTCTTAGTGTAAAGTATGTTTCCCAATGGTTTCACATAATTAAGATTAAATGTGATATCTAACATGCGTTTATGTGACCTTAATTAAACAATATTGCATTGAATGAAATTTTGAAAAATATTCCCAATTTACCTGTAAAGTCCTCTCAGTTTGGAATCTTAGATGTAACTGAAATAATGCTGATGTGACGTTAAATTTTAACTCGCTCACTTGACTCTTTAATTAAGGATCCGGGCATAAGGCATTTGGATAATTATACCGTGCCATGAGTAAACAATAAGCACATCAATACAAGGATTTTTTAATCCTGGTTTGTTGACGTGATGTAGATAATTACTATATAATTAGTGTTTTCATCACTGCCAAAGCTGACCTTGCTTGACTTGTTCCAGTCCATTTAGAAATAAAATAAACAGGTCACCTCCTTCATTACTTTAGGTTGCAAAAAAATTATTTCAGTGGTGGAGTTGTTAAAGAATGCAAACAGAAATCAGATAATATTTCAAATATCATATTTGCTGGTATATGTGTGAGTAATTTGGTATGAGAAAATGCATATATCAACATATGATATACATCAGTCGCATATATATGTCAGGGTAGAGACTGCGATCTGGTAGAATCGGAGACTTTGATAACAAACATTTAACACCTCACTGTAAACAATATCAAAATAAAAAATAAAAATGGTTTGTAACACTGTATTTACATCATGAGACCAAGCTGCCAAATTTGGACTCCACTCAAAAAACAATAACAAAATACCTTACTCCAAAACAGACCTAACAAATAAAGTTAACAAGATAACAATAAATAAGTTCAATTATAACTGGCAAATAATAGGAAAACATTATACCCACTTATTATACTTGCTTGCATAAGCTTGCACTTGCTTGCATAGGTTATTCCATATAATCATAGTCTCTACCAGTAGAGACTACGATCGCAATCTCTACTAGTAGGATCGGAGATTCTACCAGTAGAGACTCCGATCGCATAGGTTATTCCATATAATCAGTAGTCTCTACCAGTAGAGACTACGATCGCTAATCTCTACTAGTAGGATCGGAGATTCTACCAGTAGAGACTCCGATCGCAGTCTCTACTGGTAGAATCTCCGATTCTACCAGATCGCAGTCTCTACCAGATCGCAGTCTCTACCCTGACATATACATCTTTTGTTTTGAACATTATCTATGTGCTATTCCACTTATGATATCAAGGTTATTTCATTTCATTGTTTGTAGGCTAGTTGTTAAAGGTCACATGCAACCAAAAAAACAAACATAATTAAAACACAATAATCACTTATTCATGACATATAATATTCATTGCTGATTATGAAAAAACAAATAAACTAAATTAAAAGCGTACAATCATAAGTCGTAAGTGCAATATTTTGTACTTGGGTTTACTTCCCTCGAAATGAAACACCCGGGACACCCAAACCCGGGTGGGGGTGCACTTAAGTATAACGAAGACTTTCATTGGCTGGTTTATTTGCCGATACACTCTTTGTGTGTGTATAGAGATGTTGGGTTTTGTAAATAAATGCTCATTTTTGTGTATAACATTTTGCAATCAACAGACTCCATTACATGTTGTGTATAGGTATCACACCTGCCTGTCTGTGTAATTACATAATGTGACAGGGGCAGAACTCGGGTGCACGAGCCATAAATCAGTCCCGTGTCCAAGCTGCGCAAACCTATTCACTGCGCATGCACCATGAGTGCAGCGCAGCCTACCACAGCTGTTGAAACCACTTTTCACCAATTTTGTGAATCATTTGAACTTCGATTTCGGGGGTGGGGTGATAGTGTGTGTGTGTTCATCACGTTATTTTTCAACTTTATTTTATAAGTTCAATTTGCATTTTTGATCATTTGTTACTGCAAGTCCATACCGAAAGGTATCAGAATCTGCAAAATTGTGTTGTACGTTGCATGTGACCTTTAAGCAATAAGCCTTGCTTTATTGAAGAGGGTCATTCTGTTTTGTGGGGAAAAGTCAATATTCCGATTCTGTTTGACATGTTTAATGCACAGGATATTAACTATATATTTTTACGGTAACGTATACATGTGTTTTCATGTCAGAGAATGTTTTACTTTGTTTTGCAATGATCTTAGATATTCATATACCACTTATTTAATCATGTATAACAACATGATGCCCAGCAATTCAGACATGCAAAATAGGCCCAAATATTTGTTGGTAGAACAACTAAATACAGGTCACTGTCATCTAAAGACTGTAAAACAGTATTAACTCACCTTTGTTTGTTATTAGAAATTGACAGTAAATTCTGATTGATGAATACAATTAAATATTAGATGAATTAATGCTGCAGTTGACGGTAGCTTGCAAATAGATCAGTCTGTTCCAACCAATCAGTGTTTGAATGCTTGAGGAACAATCCACACATCTCACATGTTGTGGTCAGTTTTTCTAATTTACTTGACATTTTGTAAGGATGCTTTCTGATTCTGGATCCTCTTAGTTCTCTGGGGCAGTGGGGTTGCCTAGTGGTTAAAGCGTTCGCTGGTCACACCAAAGACCTGAGTTAGATTCCCCATATGGGTACAATGTGTGAAGCCCATTTCTGGTGCCCCCGCTGTGATATTGCTGGAATATTGCTAAAAGCGGCGTAAAACCAAACTCACTCACTCTTAGTTCTCTGTTTGAGACTTTCATACCAACAGTCCAATTACTTTTGAGTTTGTATGTTGTCATAAATCACAGAAAATCAGTGAAAGATTTTTGATAACTCAAAAGTACCCCTTCAAAATGACAGTTTTCCTGTTGCATTTTATGATTTTATCTTGTCATAAACATTATTGCCTCAAGTAAAATCACCACACTGTTATATGAGAATTGTGGTAAGCACTTCAATGCTGAAGTGTAGAGAAAGTTAAGATTGTTAAATGTTTAAAATGTTTAGGTGTTGAAGTGACCTGGTGATCCTTTTGTGTATGCAGCATTTTCGGTAGCTACAAGAATTTTATAAACTTTCTTGCACATTCTTTGGATCTTCCTGGCTGTAGGTTTTGTCTTCAGTACTGTGGTTATGTCAGGTACTTCAACCGTATCCATGGTTACCTTTTTTACTCATTTGAAATTGTACAGCAAGTTACTTAAGTTGTTGATAGGGGATATAAGTCCCCTGTCAGTTATGTGGAAAGGATATGCAAAATATTATGTAAGAAGAGTTTTGATTGCTTCTAGAGACTCCACATATTACAACTGTTAAAACAAATTTCTATTTTTTGTAGGTAAAAGAAGTGTTTAAGGATGTAGATCAGAATAATTAGTTGTTATGTGCTGTCAAATTGCACTTCTTATCTTTTATGACATCGAGGCAAAACCTGAATTACCTTGTATGTTAAAATCTATTGCATGTGAAACTAATTGTTTTAAAAACTAATACAGGGAACGGTAAATTTCCAAAGGACTTACTTAATTTTAGTATTGGTATTACATGCTGAAAGAAATAAACAAAACAGTAAACCAAATAGGCATATGTTTGATTGGTGGTCCAATTGATTGAAATAATCGAAGATTGGGATGTAATGACTAAACAACCAAGCAATTGATCACATTTTATCATAATCGAACACAAACAATTTTGGAACACTTGTTTGCATTGACAATATTTATCACAAGGTTGGTGTTGTTTGTTGCGTTTCATAAGCACTACAAGCTCGTTCCAAGTCATGATTAAAATTTATCTTGAAGACTCCAAGAAATGTATATTCCTAACATATTAGTCATCCTTTAATGACATGGAATTTGCCAAAACAACCGAAAGAACTACATGTTCTTTTCTTTATTTTGTGTACATTAGCAAACATAACAAGGACATTTTGATAAATAATGCTAACCAACTATTTTTGATGATTGATATGTTGTAATGAACCAATCATCAATTATAAGATTTTAACCAATTCCGAACACTAGTTTGAAGTGGTATTCAATATATTATACCCCTATAACTGTGGTGGTGAGGAAGCCTAGTGGTTAAGGTGTTTGCTGAAGACTCAGGTTTGATTCCCAGTATAGTTACACCGTGTGAAGACCATTCCTTGTGTCTCCTATTGTGATACTGCTAGAACATTGCTTCAAACTGCAGTATACAACATACTAACTCTGTGATTCTGAACTTCGGCTGCAGGTCAGATTGATAGATTTTCAACATTCCTTCTGTCCAGTAATTAACGCATATAGTAATAGTACAGTGTATCCACAGATGATGAAAACGGATTTTTTTCAGCTCATTGATAATTTGCATTGCTTGAGCCAGTTAATGATATTTCGATATGTCATTTGGGCAAGTAGATGGTATGTTGAACTCATCCTGCAATATTTTCATTTGCCCTTTTAAAATGATCAAAGTTAGGTTATCTCAGTAATTGTTACCATTTTCTGTAATTAACCATTGAGTTGAGGACATTTCCGTCAGACAGTACAAAGTAATTCACAGTCACTACCATGTACTTTCAGCTCAGCCCATTAATGCAAACTTGCATAACATGCCTCTTGAACAAAACATGTTCTGTTGCATTTGTTTTATAAAAAGTAACCCCTGTTTGTTCTACTTGGTAATAAAAAATTAATCCAACCATCCCTGATAAAAATCTTAGCAGTCTTTCCTCAGAGAATTGTTCACTTCCTTGACCTTTGAGCATCAGTACTGATTCACTTAAAGCAAAAAATATGAAAGATATGGTTACCTCCCTTGAAAAGCTAGTTTCAAGACCTGTTTTGCAAAAGCTTTTTAATTCTAGGATTTTTCAGCAGACTGTACCAAGTGTGCTGTGTATTAATGATATAAGCGACATGTATTTTGCTAATAGCACCAGTGTGAGAAATAACCACTTGCCCGCCAGCCCGTGGCTAGTAAAAATCAAGTCGGGCCAGTTAATCTCCACAATCACTGGCCCAACTGGCTAGTGCATGTTCATGGGGTCATTTTGTAACTATATCACTGTTAAGTTATAATACACTATTAAATCATGCAAGATTATGGCTTGATAAAAATGTTCACCATATTAGCAGCTTAATGATGAACCCATGTCATGCCTACGATATCATATTCTCATTTATTTTTGTAATCTTTTGATAAGTTTCTACCATCAAACTTCAGGCTAGTGAATTATTTTGTGGGCTGGTAACTTTCAGGCATAGCTAGCCCTAAAGTATTTTAGGTCAAAAATTATCCTGCATATTTATTTGAGAACATTTATAGATGAACTGTTGTGACTGGAATATGTACATGCCAAGGACAAGAGTTTCTTCACTTCTGTCACTGCTCTCAGTCCTCGGTACCATCAAATGAGTGGATGTTTTTAGCTGAAAAACAGTTTCGCATTAAAGTATTATGAAAAGTTCCTGACACTTTAACGTGTTGAGCTAAAGTGTTAATCTGGGAGAAAAGATGTATGTGGTAATGTGTTCACCTTTTCACAGATTGTTTATAAGCATGTAATTTCCTCGATATGCAATGTACATGAAGTCATACAGAGGCATCAACGACTTGCTGTAACAGAATGCTGTGACATCCAATACTGCGCCACTACTATTTCCCTTTGCCTTAAGCAGTGTTCAACATGTTGCAAAGCTTGACATGTTTTCCTTGTTACCATACCATTGCATTACGTGATACAGTTGTGATAAAATCATACCAGCAGATATCCTAAGTGAAATCATGCTTCTTATGATTTGGGAGAAGGAACATTGACCAGACAGGTACTTTTAATGCAGAAACCAGTCTACCCATTTTGCAGCCATATTTTCTGAAAGTAATCGCATCCAGACTCAATTTGGGGCACATGTCTCTAGGGTTTTAAGAGCTGTCTCTTGAGCAGTATACCCAACTCACTCACTCCAATCACCATGCAAATGTCAAGGGTAACAGAACTGACACAGCTTGTATGCATGATCCCTGCCATGGTACTACTGAAAAAAGTCTTTCCAGAATTCTTTCCTGATATTGAACAAAGCCAATTTGAAAATATTTGGAACCATTTATCAGACAGTTTATAATATTACATAACATGCAATGGCATTTAATTTATTTCCATGTTGCTTTGACAATGAATGTACAAAATAATGTCCAGTGGCATGAATTTACATGAAATTATTTTTGAAAGATATATATTTAAGAGAAGAGATTGTACATGAAAACATTCTAGGGGAACCACTGCATTCTGGGCTATTTGTGATTTTGTTTACATGCTCAAAAGGTTCTTCTGTTTACTAGCTCTGCCTCACCATAGTGAGAGCCATTTTCATTTTCATTTTTGCATTTTGGTATGAATAAAAGTAATATAAAACCTTAATCATGAGATGAGTTGCAGCTGTCTGGTGTAGGTTTCATCTGCTGCTGGTCATGTGATGCTGAGTTGTGAGTGATAAGTCATTTGTCTCATTGTGTTGCAATTACACCATCAAAAGCAAAAGATTCCCAATACCCTCTGTCACAAATCACTTCATATCCATTGCATATAAAAAAATTAAGCAGTAGGTCAATACACTTGGTTAAAAGCTCATGAATGAAATTCTTACGGAATTTCTACACAGCTTTTAGGTCATAATAAAGGTTATATTCTAATAGCTTATACGGAAATAAGTGTTTTAGAAATGAAAGGATGGTATTTGTTTCCAGGATTGTTTACCCGTTCTTTAGGAATATGGATAAATGTATATGTCATATTATTCAAGGGAATTCCCTCAGCAATATGCCCTTGCTAAATATCAGCCAATCAAATTGCAGAATTTAGCCATATGCTGCTTAGTCATCCCCAGGCCTGAATGACTGGTTGGAGTTGACTGACTTACTCAGCCAATGAGAAGACAGCTTTTATAGGATATGAACCAGTGGTCATGTGTTGTAGCTATGTCCTGAGTAAACAAGGCATGCTTCTAGGAAATAGCACTGGGAATTCACACACGGCTGACAGGTTGTTTTGTAACTAGGCATTGTTTTACATTTCTCTGCCACTTGGAAGCTCATTGTAGCTGGATCCATATAGATGCAGCATTTAGAAACTTCCCTGGAGAGTTTGACGATTGATCCAAAGAAGGCAGGAGGCGGGATGAAAAGTCGTAAGTGATCTGTTTATCTTGTTAAGGTGGGGCACTCCTTGTCCTGACAAGCGCATGTGGCTGGTCCACACACGTGGAAGGGAAACTTATTATCTTGCCCACATGGCTATGGGGCAGGTATCTGGGTCACAGGGTCACCGTGGTGCGGTCAAGCAGAACCTGTGTGTACAGGAGAAGCTGACTGGGGTCAGTTATTAGCCATGTCTAGCCAGTGGTGACCAGTGACAAGGCCTGACTCACAATGCACAAAGGTTCTGCTTCTTGATCAGGCATTGAGACATGGGGTGTTGGGATTTCGTGATAGTAATTACAGTTCGATGGTTATATTTATCATGCTGACAATGGAGGGATTGGTAGTATCAGCATACCTGAGCATGTACATCTGTATTTGACAGCTTGTTTGTTTAATGCTCTCCATGGAGTCTTAAGATCTTATCTTCGTGAGAATATATCTGAGGCATAGCTGCAGAACCGCTCTGATAATCTTGTTTTCATTGGGAGAAATTGACTCATAATCATTTGCATTCTGCCCATGGTCAGTGATGGGACTTGGTAAATATGCAGCATAAGAAGTTGTGTTCATTATTTGCAGGGATCTGGGATCCTAAAGGTTACTGCTACTGTATTTTTCTAGAGGTGTGAAGTCTCTAACTACTCATACTTGGTTATGGCAAGGACCCCTGAGCGTTTGAAGATCAAAACTCTGGAGCGAATATAGATTATTATAATATTTGAGATATGTTTATGGCATGTGTCATATTAAAGGGTAGAAAGGATTAATATAGACTTAGAACAGCAGAAAATATAACATTGTTTGGTGTTCCCAGTGGATATTTATACAGGTTTTTTATTGTCACCATCTTATCCTTTTTGATGTGTGTGTACATGCTTTGATGCCTCAACGTCTATTTTTAGCATTGACATATTGATGACATGGTCTTTGTAGTTTCATACAAACAAAGATTGCCCGAATCGTGTTTGCCAGATTTGGTTGACAGTTTGTTTTCCATATTTCAGCTCATTGTTTAGTGTTGCAGTGTACTCTTCTCTAACCACAGTCACTGACAGGTCAGTGAAAGGGTTCCCGTAAGCTGAAATGCTCATACAAATTGATAATTGAAAAAGTTTCCTATCTGGCTCAACGGACCATTTTGTTGTTGTTGCTAAAGGGTGCATTTTCAATAAATTCTAATCACAAGTGAAACCACAAGTGACATTTTGCAATACTGAATATGTGGTTGTGACTTGTTACTCAATGGGGGCTGTCACAACACGAGCCATTGAACTGATTAAAATGTTTCGAGGTTCTTGCTATCAAATCCTTCTGCTGACACTCAGCTGACTGTCAGCTGACAAGGTGTTTGTGGCTGTTGGTATTATTCCTGAACAGTAGAGGGTGGAGACTCTTACATTGGCAGAGTATGTGATAATAGAGGCTGCATAGTAGACCTGTTTGGTGGTGAGTCACTCGTGGGGTTCCTCAACTGGGTGGGCTGAGAGGGGATTCCCGAATCTGCGTTGTCTTGATCAATGTTGCAGCCGATCAATTCTGATGACCCCTCACAGGCATATGTGGGCCAGGCCATATACAATGCAGGTTCATAAGGTGTTTCTTCAAGGTTGATGAACCATATCAAAATGAAGCTTTGAAACTTGAAATCTGAATGCTTCAAGTAGGGAACATTTTCACAGCTGAGTACATATCATCATGGACAATTCACTATTTGCAGAACTCTTAATTTCAGCAATTATTGCAGTAGATGGTCACTGGTTGAGACTTCTGGCTTTATCATTAATCCTGGTCCTGTGGCTTGTGTTATCTTCAGTACTGTGTGGGGTAATCTGCTTTAATGGTTGGAATCTGCTAGCTGATTGGGCTGATAAGCATTGTCAAGGTGATTGCAAACTGACATTTCTTTCTCAGAGCAATCTCAATTTTAAGAAGATACTCTCATCAGCTTTTCCTTCTTGAAATGACAAATGTTAATACACAGAATAAACTATTGGAAACTTGAAATCATGACTGATTTCCATGAATGCATGTTGTAACCCTTCAGTAAAGCTTTGTAATATTTGCTTTTGATGACAGATACTCTGTGATCTCATGTAAGTTGTTTTCTCCTTAATGTGTAGGAACAAATGCAGTCAGTATTATAAAAGTTTCTCATTTATAACCAACAGGGTGAAACTCTCACCGGTAGGCATTGATGAAATCAGTAATCAGGTCACCACTGATTGTACAGTGTACACCTGTGTATATGGTAGAATGTGATCCAGCCAAAATTGCAACCTGATGCTTAGTACAGGAAGAAATTAGGGATTTTGTGGGGAATCTGGAAACTTGGAACACCATTCCTTGGGACAAGGTTTCTTATGTCTTTGAAAGATATGTTATGAAATGCTTAGCTATTTTGGATGATGAACATGCTTGTCACTCATTAGAATTGACAGAAAATAAATGCAATAACAAACTTTCTTTCTTTGGAAATCAAGATGGAAAAAATCACATTGTTGTCAGTTGTGAAAACAACATTTGCATGTTTTGCATGTATTACAGCGTAACATATCTTTACAAATATGATAAGATCGAACCACAAAAGAGTGATTGTGTACAGGTCATATTATGTAGCATGTATTAACATGATAATGTGTTTTGTTGGTGTCTCCACATCAAAGTGTAACTATTTACTGAGCAGTAACCAATAACACAGGCCCACTCCTCAATGACCTGTATTTGTATGTTAACAAGTACAGATATCTATCTGGTGTAGGGATATAACAGGACCTCCTGTGTCGGTACTCATTGACACTTGACCTGGGTCATGTGACTTGCAGTTTGTCTCCTTGAAAGGAATGCAAAGTACCTTGCAGGTGTTGAGTTGCATATTTTGTTACAGAGGTCTATCTGATTGGTCAGAGTTTTGTTGTTCAGTTATCTTAAGTAAGTGAGTTAAAATTTGAAGTCACATCTGCAATATTTTAGCCATATAGTGACTGGAACAAATAGTACCCATTAGAGTTATGTTATGGCCCAGATACTTTGTTTCTTGTTTATAGAATCTCTAGGTCTTGGTGGGTCATATCTGCAAGAAAAAGGTGATAAAGTACAAAGATAAAAACTGTCAAGTTAATTTCCTTGGAAGGATGAAATTGAGAAACATTCAATTAATGTGCAAAGAAATATGTTTTTAAAACAAATTCTTATTGAATTAAAATTAAAATGGATGGCAGATTCATTGGGAATTCTCTCCCTGAATATGTATATGCAAGCAACTGATAACTTATTTCGGTTATCATAATGTTCTTTATATTTAAAGTCATCTTGAAATAAATGTTAAAACAGCATGAAGATGTTCCAAATTAGCATATATTTAATTCAAAACGTTAATATTTTAAGGTCAGGTCCTGCCTTTCCATCATGGTGGTTGTTATGTCTCCCCCGAAGGGTTGGGAAACATACTGGTTTTGTTTGAGTTGCCGTCGGCGTTCCCATTGTTTCCGGAACATAACTCAAAAACTACTTGAACAATCTTCGCCAAATTTGGTATACTGCCCTTCCATATCATGTAGATGTGCCTTTTGGGGGTTTGAGGGATTTTAATTATTTTTTTTTAATTTCATTTTTTTCTGTTTTCATGGCAACAATTTGGACTTTGTCTTTTTGAAGGGTAAAGTTCGTTTCCAGAGCAAACTTTTGAAACTAATAAACTAATTGACCCATCTTCACCAAATCAGGTCACGCCGACCGCCTCCGTGGTGTAGTGGTTAGAGCGTCCACCCGGAGAGCGGAATGTCGTGGGTTCGATCCCCGACTGTGTCATACCAAAAGACATTAAAATATGGTACTTGTTGGTCCCTGCCTGGCGTTCGGCATTAATGGGTACAACAAGGACTGGTCGGTTCGGAGTCAGTATAATGTGTCTGAGTGGGGTATTCATGCTTAACTGCGGCATGGTATCTCAGTGGGCTAGCACTATAAAACCAGCTTAAGTCTGGGCTAGTACAAGCAGCCGCACATACACATAAACACGCATGCACGTCGTCATATGTGCGAAATATTCTCAAGGACGACGTTAAACCCAATCTCACCTCACCTCACCTCAGGTCACGCCAATTATGAGGCAGAAACACCCACTGGAAGCTATTTATAGATGTATTGATGCCAAAGTTATGTTTCCAGCTGAACTTGGTTGTGTCAGGACTGATGCACACAATTGTATTTTGGGAGTCATTACTTGTCACACTGCATCCAATGCCAGTGGATTCTTTGTGATGTGTGGTTTGATTTACATGCAGGATTAGGAGGATGTAATTATGAATTGAGAGGTCTATATTCTTGTACAACAACATGTTTTGTTAAGGCTTTTAATCCCTTGATAGTTGTGTGTGTACATATAATAGACAGGAACTAGACATGTTGACTAACAGATGCTTTGTTCCTTCACAATTGCACCAGGATGTGACAGACTTACTTGTACATATTTTTTCTTGATGTCTGCTTCTCTGATCTCCGTGTGATCATGGTGATGAAGACTTTAAACTCATAGATGTTTGGTTGTTTGTGATTTCAATACATTGACTGGGATGCTAACCCTTAAATATATTTTGTTGTATGTCTTATTATTGAAGTAAAATATGTGAAAATCAAATATGTTTTGAAAGTTAATTATTTTTGCAATAATTAGTTCGTGAGCTTAGTTTTAATCCACACTAGGCAATATTCCAGCTATATGGCAGCGGTTTGTAAATACTCGAGTCTGAACCAGACAATCCAGTGATCAATAGCATGAGCATCGATCAATAATCAGCAACAGCTGTATGTAACAGCAACGTTTGACCTTATACTCGCTGCAAATAGAAATTCATTAGGTTTGCTTTTGTTGTATTTCTTTTCAAATTCACTTTCTTAGGATGTTTGATGAAAACAAGCTCGATTTACTCTAGTTTTAGACAGTCAGGTTCATGATGAAGACTAAAAGAAAGAGTTTTATGGTTTGGGG